CACATCCGGCTGCAAGTGAAAACTGTGAAAAAGGTTGCAAAATGCATAGCCATGCCATGCATACTGAGAGCGGAAGAGATAAAAATAGAGGGAGAGATAGTGATAGCGATATAAAGAGAAAGGGAGAGATAAAGAGAGAGGGGGAGAGAATTTGAACCATCAATAGCACCACTAACTTCCACTTCTTCCCAATCTAATCGACACATTTTCGGTTGCATTTAAAAGCCACTTGCCCTCCATTGACTAAGTGCCACGCCCACATCACTCCCCAACCGTCCCACTCGCGTCGTTGATGAGCAATTCCTCCATGTATATCAAGGTCAATACAAAATGGCGTCGCTGCGCAAATACAAAGTGCACAATGTAGCGCATATTGGCATTACCGTTGAAGTGCGCCCGCCCTACCTCCCCTCAGCCATCAATCTATTGCATTCTATGCTGCGTCCCTTCCCAACAGCTCATCAACACTTTTCCGAAATTTACACAACACTACAATAAAGAAGTAGTTAAACGCTTTTCGCGATTTGCAAAACTTTTGCGCACTTGTTTTGTGTGTTGTAAAAAAAAATTGCTGTACAAAAAGTCGACAATAGAAATTTTATGAACTTTTGGCATAGAGCAACGTCAATGCCCTAATTTTGACCTTTATTGAACATAAGTAAGCCTCAGTCTTTCATAATAAAAATGTATAAAAAATAAAAAATAAATAAAAGTATAAAATTAATAAATATATAAAAAAAAATATTAAAAAAAATTAATATATAATATAAATATACAAAAAATAGATATATAAATATATTAAAATTTACAATATGTACATACATACATATATGTACACAATATGTATACATAATAATTTAAATAAATTAACAAAATTAACAGATATATAAATATTATTAAAAATGTGAAATAAATAGAAATAGGAAATAAATACAAACATAAAATAATTAAAAAAAAAAACATGAAATGAATAAAATTAGAAAATAATAAAAATATTAAATTTTAAAAATATTAAATTAACAAAAATATAATATATAGAATAAATAAAAATATTAAATTTTATAGAATAAATTAAAAAAGTAAAATAGATTTTAAAAAACATAAAATAAAACTAGAAAAATAAACTATTTAAAATTTGTTTTTAATATTTTGAATGTATGAAAACAAATCAAAGACCAATTTAGTTTCTCCACAAGAAAAGAGAATATGATTCAATAAATATGCTTTGTAAAATGAATATTTAATTTTCCGTATTATTGCTGCTGGCGATTACAGTTATTTAAAGTTTGTTACAAAATTGATGGCAAAGTTGATATACTCTCTAGCCCTAACTTAAGCCCCAATTTCGCCAATGCGAATATCTCGTGCTTTTTTTCTAGTTTTGTGTAATAGCATTTGTTGTTGTTGTTGTTGTTGTTGTTGTATTTGTTGTTGCTGCTGCTTGATGCAAGACTTTTTGATTGGAAAACTTGTGCATTGGAGTGAGTCGTATGCTTTTTTCTATTTTTTTTTTGTGTTAGCACAGCTTAAGCGCTTGTGCTACCTCGCTAATTAAAATACTGAGGGTTAAAGTTCACGGGCGTGCGAAAATTGACAGTTTCCATGGGTTAATAAATTGACGCAATATGGTTAAGGAGTGGATGTTGTGTGTGTGTGTGTCTGTCTGTGTGTGTGTGTGTGGCATGCCTCTATTGCCAATGGACTTTAACGGGATTACACACACACACACCCACACACACACTGCATGCCAATCTAAAATCGTGCCATTTGTATATATTGGATATCCAATTTATTTTCTAGGCTATTTCCAAGTTGTTGACGCAGTTTTGTTTGCCATTTGATATCCTTGACTGGGCTTCGGCTTGCGCTTTGCTCTAAAATTGTATCCTTGTATCATTAATTAAGATGCACACATACACACAAGCACACACGCACACAGCCACACACTCTCGTAGAGTGTGGGGTAAACCAATGTCAAGGCAGGTTGCGTTTTATCTATGAAAAGTCAGTCGAGGTGTTTGTTTCTTCTGCTGCCCCACGCTCAGACAAACTTGTGTGCGTGTGTATGTTAATGTGATTATATGGTGCACATAAACACACCAGGCACACTCACACACACACGCACACACACACAAAAATTACTTTGGTCGCATTAATTTTGCAATCAAAATGTCTTACGGTAGCTCTACAGCCCAAAATTTAGTGGGTATACGCACGTGTGTGTGTATGTGTGTACCTATGCGTGTGTGTGCTTGTGTTTTCTTCTAACCCACTTAATTTAATTTAATCAGCTTAGTAATTAGTTAGCTCGTTGTTCCTGCTGCGGCGGCGGCGGCTGCTGCTGCTGCTTGTGCAGCAGTTGATAAACATTTTTGGCATTACCTCCCGCCGGGGCCTGTAAATATTTAATGCACTTCTCTGTGTTTTTGCTGTGCAACTAATTTGCGTTAACTTTGCAAAACCCTCAACGGGACTTGTGAATGTAAACTCTGAGGATTTTGTTTAATAACACTTGACGACAAAATGCCTTTGAGCCAGACCCATAAAATTGCAAATATTTAAAGTGTGGACATTGATTGAAAGTCGCAAAAAGAGTTGATGTTGTTGTATGCGGAATAATAAGCGTTCGTTTTATGCAGTTTGCAGTTTGTTAGTTTATATAAATCAATTATCAATTAAATGTGGGTAAATTAATAATGGATAACTTGTCTCATTTGAAACTTAATGAAAAACATTCATATTGAAATCTTGTTTTTTGATCATATCTCGAAGCTTCTAAGAGATACAGACACAAAATTTGGCATGCAAGCTCTCGTATAGGATAGTATGGTATATATAAATCAGTTCTTTAATATTTTTGCCTTGGGCTTTGGTATCTACACCCATTTTGGTGTCATATACAAACCCTGAAAGATTCAAAAAGATCGGACTATAAACACCAAAGTTACTCAGGACCAAGTTTTTTATAGTACGCGGCAAAGGGAAGAAGAAGCACAGTCGCTGCATAAAGTGCTCAGCTTGCATAAAGTGTATGCTCTTGTGTATGTAGACATGGTGGAAATATATAGAATATATAGAGTTCGTTATATTAAATAGTCTCTTCTTATTTTGTACACCATTTTGTTTTTCCAAGTGTAGAATACAGAATTTCGTTCTTATATTAACCTAGCAAAATGCCAAAGAAGTTAATCTCAGTCGGTAAATGGATATTATATGCGAATTATTATAAAATCAACCCTGGAAATATAATATTCAACTGCCATATAAAATTTAAATATACGCATTAACTTGTCCGGCTGTCTTTATATCCCATTGTATATGTAAACAATGGTATTAAAATTGTGAAAGCAGTATTCAGTTCAATAATTATGAGATTTCATTTGTTGTTTGAATAAACAACAAAATGTAAATTGCAATCGCCTCAATTAGATGCTAGCTAAATATAAACCTCAATAACCGATACGTTTTGCTAATGTTTGTTATTTTTAAATGGCATTTGGCTATTAACTACACAATATTTGAATACAATTTGTGACCTTCGCAGAAACAGAAAGAAAATGGCAAAATGGTTAGCGAAATCAATAAATTGATGCCCAAAAGGAATACGAGGCAATCAATGCAAAGAGCCAAACAGATGCGGTCCCAAAGATTGAAAAGAACCAAAAACGAGAATCTTATGATATCTACGGCACGCCGAAGATTTAATACCCTTGTGGACATGTGCCTTGCTGTTTGGCAGATATGTGAGCTTAGTAAAGCTCAAAAATGCTGCGTTTGATGAAAATATCCTACTTTTCGAGATTGTTTTTATGGCAACTATATGTGCTCCGACGTTGATAAGGTTTTGCATATGTATGAGGAGCATCGTATAACGAATAAGTTCCGAGTTTGCTTCGATGTATGTACTGCCTGCAACAGAAAGGGGAACATTTGCAATATTTCAAAACGAAAGCTTTTAAAGTGAGAGACTAGTTCGCATAGAAACAGACAGACGGACGGACAGACAGACAGATAGACCTGACTATATTATTTCGACGATTGATGCTAATCTAGAATGTATATATACTTTATGGGTTCGGAAATGTCTCCTTCCATGGCTTACACATATCATGACAAAATTATAATACCCTCTACAAGGGTATAGAAAAACAATGCCAACAGGCCAATAGGCAAAAAATTGAGCTGTCTAAATGTGGGCGGAGTTTTCAAGTTTTTTTTTCCTTTTTTTATTTTATTGAGCGCATAGCTGGCAATCGAGTTGGCTGCAGCTCAACATAGGACATATTAGATGAAAGATAACTCAAGCATGTATGTATACAAGCTCAGGACAGGTTCTATGCAACCCATTGACCCTAATATTGGGTGTATACATGAATGTGTGTGTGTGTGTGTTTTGACTGCGTGAAATTTATTTAACTGGCAGTTAAGTTGTTGCCGAGTGCTGACAGTTGAACGAATTGTTGTTAATCGTTCAAAGTCACAAAATGTCAGCAGGAGGCATCATTAAATTAAGTAGTCTTAGGTTGGCTTTTTATTGCCTAGCTTAAAGTACTTCGCCAGTTGAGAGGCACTAAAATTATGGAATTTCAAAGAGAACCACACCTAAAAGTCTGTTAAACTAAACGAACATTTAATGCTGAGCCTACGCTCTTGAATTTAAGTATAAATTAGTTGGATCTAGGGCTACCTGAGGGAAAAGAATACAGATGCAGATACTAAAGAGTATCGATAAAAGATACATAAATTTAATTGTTGTTAATTATGCTGTGGCATATGAAATCAATAACATAAAAACTGATTATAGGATCCAAATAAATTTAAAAAAATATATATTAATAAGCACATCCTTGCGCTCGCTCAGGTTTCCTTTGTAAACGAAGTTTTCCACAGTTTTTGCTTTGCAACTTGATTCAACACATAAATATTTGTATAATTGGACTAAAATCTAATTATATATTTTTTGCTACTCTAATTTAAATATCTATCTTTTATCTTTTCAGCATAAAATATATAAATTCTATCCACAATTGCTAAGCATTATTTGTTGAGGTAAGCTGATGAAATCAAATCGATTTTCTGACCCTTTAACGAATGCCAATTCAATTGTGTGCTTTGGGCGTTTTATTTTTGTTTCGTTAATTTGTGCAGCATAAATGTAATTTCCACCAGCTTTTCACCCTTGGCAACAATATTAAATAATTTTCAGCATTTTCAATTTGATTTTTTCTTTAACCCGTTTTACCCAAGGGACGACACATGATTCCACGCCCAGCGTGAAGAGCGGGCAGCACATTTGTTGACTGCAATTCGCATTGCTCTATAAATTTGAATGAATTCATTTGTTTGTGAAACGTGTGCGAACAGACGCTTGAAATACACCAACAGAATAACAACACCAACAACAACAATAATAACAACAAAATAACATAAGCAGCATGTGCGGTTCGCCATTTAGCAATCCAACCCAATGGGCGTTGTTGTTGTTGACACAATTGAGCATCATATTTATTATGCCAACGGGTTTTCAGTCTCTCTTTCGTTTTTTTTTTATAGCCTTTCTGACTAGGGCATTGTGGCTTTGTCGTCTGGTTGATACCCCACTTATACAGCGGGCATTCAGTAATTATGAATCGCAGGAGTTTTAATTGTAGATACCTTAAACATAGAAACTTTCATTTGTAGACATTTTTTTTATAATCCCCAACACCTTTCCCTCACTCTCTATAACTCACACCCGCTCTTTGCACTTCACTTATTCTCTCTCTCTCTTTTCCATTCTCTCTATTCTTCTCTCTCTCCCACTCTTTCTATCTTTCACTCTCTCTCTCTCCCACTCTTTCTATTTCTCTTTATCTCACTCTCTCCCCACCAATCTTTAGATCTTTCACTTCGCAACGTCTATCTATTGTGTATCGTGTCTCTTGGCAGTGTTCAATTTTTCTATTTTCTTTTTGGCTCATATTCTTAAACGTTTTACATGCGGTTTAAAGTAACGACGAAGCGTCAACCCGGAATAAATTGCTGTTATTATATATCATTAGCTCAACCTTCTCTTAGATAATTGTAACAAATATATTATTCTTTTTTTCCTGTACGTTAATGTTTTACTGGCTGCGTTGATTTTAAAAGCTTTATTAAAAAGTGTCTCCGTCATATTTTTAACAAACGTTCTATTACAAAGCTTTTTACGTGCTGTGACTTAAATGTTTCACTGTCTGTTTTTCTTCTCTTGAATCTGAAAAATGGCAATCCAACACTCATAATATTATCAATCTCATCTGAATATTTTGTGGACAGGGTATTCGCACTTTACTGCAACACAGACTCACGTATTTATACGTATTTTTTCTTACGTTAGTCAAAAAATGTTCATTGTTCGCATTTATTTACGTGAAATTGTTGCTATGTTTTGCATAGCTTGTCGCTGCTGCCAGGCCAAAAAAAAAAATAAACATTTTCAACATATTGGTTGACCATATTCTAAATTTCTTGTGTCTCTGTCTCTCTCTTTCTATCTCTCTTATATTGCTTAGTTGTGTTTCATTTCATTTGGGTGCCGGGTTGGAATTTGGCGCACAGAAAATATTTCATTATCAGCGTTTGCTCAGTGCACAGAATTTTTACAGCAAATTTATAGCAAACATGTACAACATGACCTCTCAACTGAAAGCCATTAGAAACACGCACATATCCTTTTCAAGCACAGACACACACAGTCGCACCCACACACACACGTGTGCAGAGGACATACGCACACCTGTGCACGGACACAAAAATGTGGGCTGTGCAAAAGCAATTTTCCAATTTTCCTGAGCACAACATAACGCAAGCATATCAGTCGATTTTCTTGGCATTTTCTTTCTCTCTCTCTTTTTGCGCTGCTTATTCTTCCACCTATTTGGCTTCTGACAATGGCTCGACGTTATAAGCACCTTAGAAATCAGTTGGATAGAAAAGAAACAAGTTGACATTTTGGACGCTAGTCGACTAGCAAATGCCCTGCACCAAGAAATAACTAAAAGTCTTGAAAAAAAAACTTAAAATGTTCCATTAAAAAGGTAAAAGTAATAAAAACAAAATAAATGTATTAAATAAGGAATAAAATAAAATTCAAAATTAAAATAAAAAAAAAACTAAAAAACATTAAAATGAAACTATTAAAAAAATGAAAAAAAAAAATTAATAAAAGTAAAATAAAATAAAAAATAATAACAAATGGAAAATAATTAAATTAAACTAGAACTTGTTAATAATTTAATAGGCAACATAAATGAGTAAAGCTGGCATAATGAAGAAACAAGTTTATCTTACCTAATCAAAACAATCGCTAATTGGAATCATTCTTAATGCTTTTAAACTGCATTTCGCGCTAATCAACCCCTTAAATCCCATTCATATAGGGTATTAAAAATTTACATGAAACCAATTTGCAATGTTGCGGCATTTTCATTTCAATTTGACCTTCAGAGCCAAGCCAAGCTGGTTTGTTTCTTTCTCGACTTATCTACTTATGGCGAAAACACAGTCACAGTATAAACGAGTGAAAATCAAATGCGATTTTCTTTTTGTTATTCTATGTGGAGTGGCTGACGCAAAAACTCTTAGACTTGTGCCAAGGAGTGCCCTAAGTCAAATGCTTCAATAATAGATTCATGATTTATGCATTTAACAATCTATATTAATCTTTCGCAGTTCAAAATACAGTTGACGTGTTTATTACATTTGGAGCTCTATTAAATTTCATATCTCTGTCAGTTTTCAAGCTTACGCAGATTATATATTTTTGGCATGATTCGTATGCCAATCAAGTGACTATGATGTAAGAGTAAAATTAGTTAATCAACTGAATGAAAAAAAAAAATTAGAAATACATTTCTGTATGACTAAGCTTTAGAATGACAGCACACTGATTTAAATTAAAAATGAAATGATAATAATTTATTTAAAAATTATATGTTTAATGGGCTATTTTGAGTGGACACCATTTTAAAATAGGTACAATTATCTTGTGTATTATATTAATATTAATAGAACCAGTTTTCGTTCAAATAATATGTAAAGAAATTTAAATCTTATTTCAAAACAATTATAAATAATTTATTACCTTCACTCGATTCTTAAATTTAGAATGTGCTTAAATAAACATTTGAAAAAACAACATGAAAGCTTTAAGCGAGATTTAACTTGAATAGAATAGAACAAAACTTTTAGAAAGCCTATTGAAACAACTGAAAACTTTTATATTTGTAATAAGGCACACTTAAAGCTCTAATCTCTAACACACTAGGTACAGTTGTTGATACAAAAAGAGTCTTGAAAGCACATAGAAACAGCTGAAAGCTTTGCTCTCTACAATCAAACTCGCCTTAAGATTAAAGCTTTATCCCACTAAATACCGTTTGTTGATACAACAAGGGGCGTGAAATCACATGGAAGCAATTTACATCGAAATTGCCTAAAAGCTTTAAGCTATATCGATATAAGAGGCTGAAAGATTTGTAATTTACAATTAATCACACTTAAAGCTCAAATCAAGTTACAGTTTGTCGATATACGCCTCTCACTTGATTGACTTTCAATGACATGTTATTATTCTCTTCTCGTATATTAAAAGCCTTAACCAATACCTGTGTTTAAAATGCGCCCGGCCTGCAAGTAAAAACTATTTTTACGCTCATTTATCTAAAATTGTAAAGCTGCAGATAACCATAGTAAATCTATTCTATAAATTAATGCCCCCAAACTGCAAGCGGGTAATTTTACAATTGCAAAGCAAAAATAGACGCAACACTCGACAATCAAAGTGGTTTTTCCGCTTGGCAATGGCAGACAAAGTCAACTGCAGATGGATTTGGCAGTGCAGAGGAGGTACGGGAGGCAATGGGGAAAAGCAACAACAAACTGCCGTCAAACTGTTGGAAAAAACAAAAAGCTGAAGAAAAAGAAAAACTTGACTAGTCGCCATCGTCATCCTCAATGCCTTCGGTTCGTGCTGTTATAGAAAGCAGAAAGTCCGTGGCATGTTTTGCCGTTGTTGGCCTCAAAAGTTGAAGCAACAAGAACAGCAACAACAACAGCAACAACAACAGCAGCAGCTACAAGAACAGCAGCAACAACAACAACAACTAGCCAAAAAGAAACCATTTGGAAAATATAATCAAATTTCTTCCTCTCACTCACTCAGAAGTAGTTTGCCAGCGCTCCATGGGCTGTGCTCTTCATGCAGATTATTACGTATTCCATGCATATTTATAACGTTAACTGGCATTTTGATTTTTGTTATACCCTATAAATATAGAAACAATTGAGTAACAGGGTAACACATAGTTGTGTAAATTCAAGAAAATTTGAAAATTTGTTATTTAATAATTAGTTCGATCATTTTGAAAACCTTTCCGTCCATTATTAGCCGACTTTGAATTCTACTCTAGTATGGCTTGCGCATTGTCCCCCTTGCAAAGCATTAACTTGTTGCGAACTACAAGCGACAGGCCAGGAAAAAGGGACAGCGTGAATAACAGAATCTGTCTTTTAATTTTAATTTTGTATATGCCTTTTGACTAGCTTATACAAACTAACTGTGACATGTTTGTCTATTCTTTCTGAACTCAGAGACTGTCCACATAAAGTTTAAACAAAGTTTACAATACCGACTCCCGAATACCCTACTCAACGCGGGCTTTTAGCAATTTTGCGTATCGCCTCCCATCTAGTCCGAAGAGAACCAAAAGAAATTACAAACATTATAAAATGCTTAAATAATAAAGCCAAAAGTTGATACCTTATGCGACTATGCAGTACACGATATCTCTAGGTCAAACACACCCGTCTTGTTCTTACAATTTTTTTTTTCGCTCTCTTTTTATTTTTGCTGCTGCTGCCCCACATTGGTTAGCTGAAGGGCAGCCAGCACCGTGGCACAACGTGTGAAGTGATTCGCTCTGCAAACTAAACTCAAGTGGCATTGAAAATTTATAAAAAATTTTTTGCTGCCCCTCAGCTTTTGCTGCCCGCCTACGCCGCGCCCCTTGTGTGTTGCCTGTCATTTG